CGGGAACGCCCACGCCGACAGCCTTAGCCGCGCCGGAAGGACCGCAGGGGCTTGCCCAGCAGACAGCAGGAGGCGCGGGCACGGCAGTTTCCTGGCTTCTGCTCAGGAAGATGCAGTCGAGCTCGGCGGAGCAGCAAACAGGCGCGCGGGCGCTGGAGGTAGCTCCAAGCGTCGGGGCGCCGCCTGCAGCAGAGCCAGCGGGCCAGCATCAGCACCGCCAGGGAGGCGCGCGCCAGCGTGCGGGGGGCGCAGGGCCAGCAGGCCTGCACTGCGAGGCGGCGATGTTCGCCTACATGCTCCGGCACCACAGGGAGGCCATCATGGTCGACCAACAGAGCGGGCCTCCCTGCGAGGCCACGATCCCGCGGGGCCTTGCGCGGCCCAGTGGAGGGCGCAGCCGCCGGCGCAGCGACCGATGGACCAAGCTTCACACGGTTCGACGGCGCACCCGTGGAGGCAGCAGAGTGGCTTGTTCGACCAGATGAGCCTGCAGCAGCACTTCCAGCAGTGGCCTTCCACCAGCGCCCAGCAGACGCAGCCCGCCCAGCCTTGGCAGCCGCATGCCCCCCAGAGGGAACCAGGTGCAGAGGCGCCGGGCTGGGCGCCAGCGGGGCGGGGGGGCGGGGGCCCCGCGGCGTCCCCCCACGAGCTCTCCCCCTGGTTCCTGGTCCTGCAAGGCAACCAGCGCACGGAGCCAGGGGTGCAACAGGACCCAAAACGCTACGACAGCTGGCTCTCGCCATTGCCAAACGGTCGCTTCCCCCAATATTCAGTGATGTTGCACTGGGCTTCGACGTAACCGCGGGATGCTCCTCTCCTCGCAGAACGACATGCGAGTGCTACATACTTCCCATAGGGGGCGATCATCCCGGACGGGATCCTGTTGCGACCAGGCAACAGGGGCGGGCCGGCCACAATCTACTTAGGCCAAAAAGGCAAAATCGCCTTGGCAGGCAGAGGAGAGGCCAAGGAGCGGCTGCCCGCAGCGGTGGCGGCGTGGACAACGGAATGGGGGGCAGGAGTCTCGTCAGGGGGCATACGAGCCTCCTTCCATATCCAGCAGTGTAGGTGCCAGCGGCTGACAGCGGGGGGCAGAGGCCGCCAGCGCCACGGCGCAGGCAGGGCGCATTCACCCGAGCAGCCTGGCCGTAGCGAAGACAGATGCGCGAGGCCCCTGCGATAAGGGCACGAGAGCCGAGGACTGTCCTTGGTGATGCGATCAACTTGGGCGGCCTGCGGGGCCCGAGAAAAATTAGCCTGGCGAAGGACACAACCATTCGCACATGTGAGCGCCGTCTTGCACGCGGGGCCCAGTCTCTTCAAAACGAGGACCCAACACCTCAGGATGGTTGGAAAAACATCCTTGCCCCGCCCCGGCCCTCTTCTGGCTCGCCGTGCTCCGGAGCTCTCGGTCCCGCAGGCTGGCCGCCGCCAGCTTTTTCTGGAGCTGTCGATTCCTCCGCCCTGTTGTTTTCCAGCCCACTTCCCCCCGGCCTCCGCCTGTCCATCGCCACCCGCAGTGCCCACCACTGCCCATCCTGCCCCGGTTGTCGGGCCGGGGGTGGCTGGGGCCGTTGCGCTCCACAAGAGGACCATTTGCTTTTGCGTCCGCAGATTCCCCCTCTTGCCCCTCTCTCCCCCTCGCCCTCTCTCTTGTGAGCGCCTCGTGGTCGCCTGCTGGGTAGTGCGCAGGGATTGTCCATCTCAGGATTCAGCCTGCTTCTCGTTTTCCTCGTCGTGAGGGTTGCCCTGAGCAGTTATGCGAGTCGACGAGCTTTGGCAGGACTGTCGATTTGATGTCCCGCGACAGCCCCGCACCTTCCGCCGGGGGGATCTTGATCAGCGTTTCTCAGTTGTCCCCGCCGCGTGGCCGATGCTGCTGCCGATGCTCCGCTCCGCTCCCCGACCCGCGTTTTTCCCCCTCGCCTCCCTCCCCCCTCGCCTGCCCTTTGCTTTTCCCTCTCTCCTCCCTCCCTTTGTCGGCGATTTGCCCAGCCTGCCTCAGCCTCGAGGGAAAGGGGTGGCTGAGGTCTCCGCAGATTTGGGAGGGCTTGAAGGAGTGGACCCACCACCCGGGTTTCCCAGTCAGCTGACACTACGGCCGCATGAGCCCGCACAGCTGTTTGAGGACTCTGGGTGTCATTCGTCGCGGCACCTCTGCGTGGATGCGGTGCTGCGTGAGCCTCGGGGGGTGCTTCGACTATCGCGCCTAGCGTATCGTTGTCTGGGCCGGAGCGCCGCTCTCTTCTTGGAAAGCGATGTTCAGGCTGTCTCTTTAGTGCCTGTGTTCGGGGTGACGGGGGTCGTTGCAGGACGGGGGCCTGAGGTCGGAGGGGGCTCGTCAGTGTGGGGGGGGGGGAGGGATGCTGCGTCTTCGGCAGCCCAGCCTGCCCCGACCTGCCGGATCGAGGGAGGCAGGGGTCGGCAAGGTAGTCGGAATCAGAATGGATCGCCTCGCCTGGGATCTTCCGCCAGCTGTTCAGCCGCCACTCTGCCCCGACCCTCCGCAGGTCGGGGGTGCCTGGGGCCGGAGCTGCGAGACGGGCTGGCTCGGAGTGAATCCGTCTTGCAGGGAAGTAAGATCCCTGAGAGCAAGGGGGGGATGCCAGGCTTCGGCTATCCCCCTGCACCCTGGCTCGTGGTCTGCTGTAGGGACTGTAGGGCAGAAGAGCGGGGACACGGGGTTAAGCGGAAGATGGTCACCAATGTCTTTCTTCCCCGAAGCCATCTCTCCACTGTCTCCGGCCGCACAGTCTGCCCAGACCGCCCGATGTCTGGGGACTTTGGGGTCGTTGCGGCTGGGGGACTGTCTCGGCAAGGAGCGGATCCGGTGGTCACCGCCTACCACGCAGGCAGGCTGCGGCATGCCTTGCTGGCTGGTTGTCCCTGGGGCGGATCCTTTTTTAGAGCTCCTCCCTTGTCTCCGAGTGCGGTTCGTCTGGGACCTCTCTGGTGTCTGGGTGCTTCCCCTCTTCCTCTGCCCCTTCTGACTGCAGGCCACAGGGGCAGCAGCAGCAGCAGCAGCAGAGGTGGATTCCCTCCCACCCGCCAGCGCCATGTCCGAGGATGGCCGGGCCAGAATGCAAGTCGAGGCCATGCCGAGGAGGGTCCTCCTCCCGGCTGCCCTCCGGCAGCTGTCCCCGCAGCGCCCACTCCCCGCCCATTGCGGCCGCCATCCATCCCGTGCCTGCCGGCGCGCGGGGCCAGGTGCATGGCGCATGCCGCCGCGTCGCGCGCAGCTGCGGCGGCCAGGGCTGCCGCCGACGCAGCTGCCGCGCAGGCGGTCTGCGAGGCGCGCGCGGCTGCCTTGCAGCCTTCCTCGGCGCCGCTGGCTGCCGAGCGGCTGGCTGCCTTGAGGGCGCGCGTTCTGGCCAGGCTGGGCCACGCCGCCCCGTCGTAATTAGCCCCCGCGCCGCGGCCCAATTCGGTGCCGCGAGCGTCTGTGGGCCCGCGCTGCCCTGCATTGCGCTGCAACTCTGGGCGTCTCCTCCAGGGAAAAAACCTTCCGTTATGGGGCCGCGAAGCGTGTGAGGGGTGCGCCGACATGAGCGGGGAGCCGCATGTGAACCCTGCCATCGGCGCCTTCAGTGGAGCTCCCTATGAGACGCGAGTGAGGGGTGCGCTGAAATAGCCACGCGGAGGGCGGAGGGAAAAGGAGAGGATGGATGATGATGATGAGGAGGAGGAGGAGGAGGAGAAGAAGGAGGAGGAGGACCAGTGCAAACCCAAGACTTATCAACGATACTGCAATACACCCCCCTCCAAGCTCCCTCTTCGTAGGCCCCTACACGGGTTCATTTTCACTGGGAGAGGTGCCCCACTGTAAGACAGCCGATCGAAAATCCAGAAGTGTGCCAGAGCATCAGTCTTGGAACATCGACGCCGCGAATCACCGTTACTGCTGCGTCTTGGCAATCCTGAACCGCGCCAGAAAGCCAATCCTGGGACTTCAACACCGCGGTTCAACGTGACAGCTGCACCATGACATTCCGACATCGTGCCAGAACGCCAGCTCTGGTACGTTAGCCATGAGAGTCCTTAAAGTGCTCCATGAGTGAAACTCTTGCAGCGTTTGCATCCGGAACATAACTTGTGAAGAACTCTCAGGCGAAACGCCCGGCCCGCCCTTCCGACCGGCCTCGGGGTGCGCCGTGGATTGTTTACGTTTACACCTACTTCTGTATTCGGACAGGGGGTGGAGGGAGGAGAGGAGGGGGAAGGAAACGCGGGGCGCTCTCCCTTCAAACTAGGACCGAACGGTACAGGATGCTTGGGGAACGTATAACTCCACTCTCCTAAATGTGTTTTTCCTTCTACTCTACCTCATACCCAACTCCAGTCTGCCCTAGTCTACTCGACCCCATTTTGCTTTATTCGACCCCACAATCTACCCTACTCGATGCTGGGCTACTTTGTCCTCCTCTACCCTACCTTAATTTCTTCTACAGTACGCCAACTCTACCCTATTCTCTTATCGTACGTCGCCCTAGCGCCGCGCAGCTTGGTATTCAAAGTGGCAGTGCTGTTTCAGCGCGGCGCATGATTCGTCTTCGCCGCGCCCATCGGAAGTTTTGCAGTTCCCGCCCCTGCGCGGCCTGCGTGGGCTTCCCATCGCCAAGTCGTATGAAACTGGGCCGCGCGCGAGCGCCTTCGGTTTGCGAGGTGTGAGCGCGCTCCGATCCCCAAATCAATGCGTGCCACAATTGATTGTTATGCCGCGGGAGGGAGGGTGGGAGGAGGCAAGGACCTGACTCGCCAGACCTAGCTCGTTCGATTATACTCTACTCCTGTGTTCTTCTCTTCTATGATGCTCTGCTTCTTCTCTTATATTATGCTCTGCTCTATTATGTTGCTCTCTTATCATCTACTCTTCTCGATTATACTCTGCTTATGAGTTTGGCGATGGTTGGGCGGTTATGGGGACGCCATTTGACTACCCACAGGAAGCCATTGGAATAGCAGAGGAAGCGCAGGCAACCATGCGATACATCCGTGGCCACTTTGGCTCAAGCCTGTCTGGCTCAGTGGCGCCGGCCTTCGTCGGTGGCACGCGACGAGAAATCCGGCAATCTGTCGATGCCCGCGGCCGCCTGCCCCCCTCGTCTCCGATGACCCTCCTCGCTGGTGGCCCGGGGCGGCTGCGAGGCGGTTTGGCTCGAGCCAATTGCGGAGGCAGACGCGGCCTGCTTGTTGACGGCAGGGGCGGTCCGCATGTTCGCGGAGGCGGAGTAATTCCACGTGGACGCGAGCAAGGGTGCCGAGACCGAGTGCGAGGAGGCCGAGGCTCGAGGCCCCGTACCCCCTCCCCGCGGGCGACCACTGGGTGGGCGCCATTGACCGCGCGTGGCTCATCGGCGGCGACGCGTGCTGTCGGCTCGAGGGCGACATCAAGACTGAGGTCGACGTCGTGAGCAGCGCTGAGTTCCAGGAGCCGCTTGTGGCCGAAGGCGAGGTCGCCGAGGAGGACGATGCGATCGGGGTCGACGGCGTCAAGCAGGTGCTCGAGGGCGGCTTCGGGACCGAGGCCGACGTCACAAGCAGCGTGGCGCTCGCGGTGCCGCTTGTGGCCGGGTCCGAGGGCGAGGCCGGTAAGGAGGTCGTCGTGATCGAGGTCGGCGGCCTCGGGCAGGCGTCCGAGGGAGGCTTCGGGACCGAGGTCGACGGCGAGAGCGGCGCGGCGTACGCGGAGCCGCTCGCGGCCGAGCCCGAGGGCCAGGCTGCCAAGGAGGACGTCGGAATGGAGGTCTGCCCAGCTCGTGATGGCGTGAAGGTCTCGAAGCAGCAGGTGGCTTGGGCCGCGGGCGCGCGCGGGCCCCGCAAGCGCTGGGCTGACGACCTCAGTGACCCGGGCGGCAGCGTGGAATTGCCAGAGTTGCTAGCGTGGCCGACGCTGGGCGGCGAGTCGGGCGGCCTGGCCGAGCACGTGCGCTCGCGCGTGGTGCCGAACCAGGCCGCCTCCCAGATGGCGGCGGGGGTGGCGGCCATGCGGAAGCTAGCCGAGGACGGCGGCCCACGGCGTGCCGACCCAGGGAAGAGGCAGGAGACGAGGGAGAAGTCCCGGGGAGAGTACGGTCGCGAAGTTGCGCCCCCGGAGCGTTCCGGGAAGAGCCCGCCGGAACGTTCTGAGGACGGGTGTGCGGAGCGGGGTGGGGGGAGTTCCAAGAAGGTCGACGACGCGACGGGCGAAGGCCGCTGGAGCGGCATTTCGAACCCGTCAAGGAGGCGATCGATGTTGCTCTAGGAGCAGGTGCCGTGCGAGAAAGGCGAGCGTAAGGCGGAGCGCCTCAGGCTCGTCGCCGCGCGCCGAGGCGCGCTTGGCCGAGACCGCCGCAGAGCTGAGAGCTCCGTCGCGCGTGAAAATGATCTACACAATTTTCTGGATTGCGCTCGTGCCGAGTCGTTTCGCGATTGCACGGCGTCTGATTGATGTGGCGGTGCCCATAGAGTGTTGCGCGCTGTTGCTGCTGAGGTGGCCCAGAAACGTTGGTGTCAGAGCACTCGGGCATAGCAGGCGTGGCATTTTCTCGACAACAGAGGGGGTGCGCAGGAGGTGGTCTCTCACCGCGGCCGCTATGCACGACGGCCGTCCAGGGCATAGCAGGCGTGGCATGTTCTCGACAACAGAGGGGGTGCGCAGGAGGTGGTCTCTCACCGCGGCCGCTATGCACGACGGTCGTCCTGGGCATAGCAGGCGTGGCATGTTCTCTACACCATAGGGGGTGCGCAGGGGGTGGTCCCTCACCGCGGCCGCTGTGCACGACGGTCGTCCAGGGCATAGCAGGCGTGGCATTTTCTCAACACCACAGGGGGTTCGCAGGGGGTGGTCCCGCACCGCGGCCGCGATGCACGACGGTCGTCCAGGGCAAAGCAGGGATGGCATTTTCTCGACACCATAGGGGGTGCGCAGGGGGTGGTCCCTCACCGCGGCCGCTATGCACGACGGTCGCCCAGGGCAGAGCAGGCGTGGCATTTGCTCGACACCATAGGGGGTGCGCAGGGGGTGGTCCCTCACCGCGGCCGCTTTGCACGACGGTCGTCCAGGGCATAGCAGGCGTGGCATTTTTTCGACACCAGAGGGGGTGCGCAGGGGGTGGTCCCTCACCGCGGCCGCTGTGCACGACGGTCGTCCAGGGCATAGCAGGCGTGGCATTTTCTCGACACCATAGGGGGTGCGCAGGGGGTGGTCCCTCACCGCGGCAGCTATGCACGACGGTCGTCCAGGACATAGCAGGCGCAGCATTTTCTCGACACCATAGGGGGTGCGCAGGGGGTGGTCCCTCACCGCGGCCGCTTTGCACGACGGTCCTCCAGGGCCTAGCAGGCGTGGCACTTTCTCGACACCATAGGGGGTGCGCAGGGGGTGGTCCCTCACCGCGGCCGCTATGCACGACGGTCGTCCAGGGCCCAGCAGGCTTGGCATTTTTTCGACACCATAGGGGGTGCGCAGGGGGTGGTCCCTCACCGTGGCCGCTATCCACGACACGGTCGAAAAACCTAGCA